AGTTCTAAAAGTTCTTTCAACAAATGTCAAGATTGATTTACAAAACCTGGGAACTTCGAAAACTTCGCGCCCATGAATTCCCTGGTCCTTTCCAAGGAGACCATTTTCGCCCTGCTGTTTTCTTTTTGGGCAAAAGTATTTTCCAATAATTAAACCTTTCAAAAGCATTTTCTCTTGATGGATCATGAAACATGGAGACTGAATGAAGATATTGTCTATAAAAGTGTCAAACTGAAATCAGACTTCGTCCAAAGTAAATGCTCGCAATACCGCTTGCGAATTCGGTGCGATTAGCAGTTGCACTCATATTAGGTTGTCCCGAAAGTTTTGTCCGTTTTTTCAACCTATCATAAAAACGCGTGGAACGAGGATAGGGAAACGCTCTAAGCACTATCCGACGCATCTTTTCCTTCTCTTTCTAACTGTCATGCTTCAATGCCGATTTTATCTTTTGTTCACTGAGATAAACGCCGAATTATGGACCCATGGTTTTTTACTATGCCCAAGTGCAATTTTTCACAATCTTTATTTTTGACTTTCGGAAAAGCTTTGGCAACAGTTAGATAGAGCAAACAAAGGGCAATATAATGCAATTTTGCGGCATTTATAGCCAGCCTTAAAAGTTTTTTAGAATTATTTTTTGATGCTATCAAATTCCACTTTTGGTGATGCCAAAAGCTAGAGATCATGAAACGGCGCACAACTAAGGTGTTATTCGATGCAGCTTTTCCTCCTCTTTCCAGTGAGTGCATTTTCTCTCCAATTTGCGGGGTCTTTGGCGACAAAATTTTCATAATTCTTGAATTTGATCCCACCCCAGCGTGTACATGTAAAATGCAAAATCTTATATTTCGAAGCGGTAAACGCTCATTTGCTTCGTAAAAATAGTGAATAATCGTAATCGTTTTGAAAGCTTCAAAATCCGATGATTTGTTAGTGTTCGAGGCGTTTCTGTATTTTAGAACTTCGCAAAAGTGAAGACTTTTGAAAAAATTATCTTTGAAAATATTGAAAAGCCAGCTAGATATGCCACATAATTACATTGCATTGCCCTTTACTTACTCTATCTGAGAGCTATCAAAGGTCTTCCAAAAGTTGAAAATGAAGATTGTGAAAAATTGCCAAACTTGAACATAGTAAAAACCATGGGTTCGAAATTTCGGCGTTTATCTCAGTGAGCAAAAGAGTAATTGGCATGTGGGCTTGACAGTTAGAAAGAGGAGGAAAAGATGCGTCGGGTAGTGTTTAGAGCGTTTCCCTATCTTTGTTCCACGTATTTTTATGATAGGTTGAAAAAACGGATAAAACTTTCGGGACAACCTAATATTTTGACAACAACAGCAAAAAATAAATTGAAATCTTTCATTGTTCAACTGCTTTCTCCTTTGAGGGTGTGGAGTTACTTTCAATTAAGGATTGCAGTTGGTTTCGGACGACGTACTAAACTACGCGACATAGTCAAAACCCGGAAATTTCGGCTATCGCAACAACCTGGTGATCACAAAACTGCGTTCGTTGAACAAATCGAAGCTACCCATGCATAAGACGATCTCGAACGTATAGGAAAAGTCTATAATGACAGTTATTTTATTTAGATATTCATCATTTATGTATTACATGGCGTAGCTGTGGAAAAAAAACGCATCAACGCATCATCAATAGTGAAAATCTCCCAATTATTTCCAGTCAAAGTGATTCTGAAAGGAGGGGCAGTATGCTATGCTAATTATTTGTATGTTGAATAAAAAGCTTCAGCTCCCATCCAAATGACAAAAATAAGGAGCGTTGATTTAAGTGTTGGGTTTTTTGGCTTTATCGGCAGATTTGTGAATTTTGTTGAGATGTGTGCGCACGATGATTGTTCTTTCCCAAATCTAACCGTCCCCCTTCAATACCATAATTCATGGAATACTCAATTCTTTCGTTAAACAATCAGCCTTTACCCCAAGCCTTCGAAAGAGAGTTTTTCATAGAAAACTTGTGTGTGAAAGGAATACGATCTTTCCAAAAGGAGGCTAAATGTTGGATATTTGTAGAGTGAGGGTAACAGAAAGCCGTTCGATGATATCAAAACTGTAATCGTCTTGCAAGTGGAACTCAACGAAAGAGAGATCGATAGCTAGAGCGATTCCGTACACAACCATTCCAGCTACCATGACACATTGCTATTTCAACACTTAGTAAGTGCAGCTACGAAATTGATTATGGTGGCCGATAAGTAATCGATAATTCCGAAATTCATTGGATTTGTGATCAGCATGCTCACATACACCCCTGTGCCAATTCTAAGCCGCTTAGCTCAAAGCTGAAAAATCTCCGCTCCGCCGCAGGACCCATAGTGCAAGCAAATCTCTCGCCGGCATAATTGGCTACTGGCCTCTCCTCTCGCCACCACTGAGCGCCGTTATATTTTCGCATTCCTTTTTCTGGATTCCTTCAGCAACTGGACCCTCCTCATGCGATAAGGATCACAAGCAAAGACTGGGCGCCGTTATGTCCGCGCAGATAGTATGTGTTTGGGAGAGACAGCATACGTTCAGGGATATTATAGTGCATCCGATGGCAAGAGACGCCCACAGCTTTGGTACTGGCACCTGTCTCTGCGTGTGATGTATTGCCTATATGTAAAAGCGATCTTCTGTCGAGGACCAGTTCTCGTGTGTTCTTGAAAACTTGAAGCTTTCATATAGTGGGGACAAAAAATACCAGAACGATTTTATTTACATTTTTTAAACAATTTGCTCAAAAGAAGTGGTGATTTTCCAAGAAAAGGACAAAATAAACATTTGATGGTCTTGATCCATACTCAATACATTTTTTCTAATTCAGGGATTAGAACGAGGCGAAAATCAAATTGCCAATCATCTTGATAGTCAAGTTAAACGAAAGAAGATTAACAAACTAGAGAAAGAAAAGTAAGTCTTTCAAAAAAAGTATGTCCAAAACATTTTAAAAAAGCATTATGTAAAGATGCGTTGCGATGCTCATGGTATCTTGTGAATCGGAATGTTAAAAATTCCAGGATAGTAACAAATCTCGTGGCTACCTGTGATTATAATGCTATGAAAAACGCAGATATTGTGATCGAAGCTGTGTTTGAGGACTTGGAACTGAAACACAAAGTTATCAAACAAGTCGAAGGGATCGTTGGGAAGGTGGGTGAAATTTATGGTTTGCAATTTTTAGCAATTATTTTGATTTCAGGATACCATAATTGCATCCAACACATCTGCTCTACCAATCAAAGATATTGCAAAAGCCTCATCACATCCAGACAAAGTATTATTACTCTTTTTATTGGAATTTTTGAAAATTTATTATTTATTTAGGTTATTAGGATGCATTACTTTTCTCCTGTGGAAAAAATGCAACTCCTAAAAATCATCGTTCACGATGAGACATCAAAGGAAACCCTCGCTACTGCGGCACAGCTTGGTCTAAAACAAGGCAAAACTGTTGTGGTCGTAAAGGTTTAGAATATTCATTTTATAGTAGATATCCTCTGTCTTATCCGGAATGACCCCGACTAAAGCGGCTCGGGTCCCGTGCGGCCGCCTCCCTTGCACGTGCGCTGCGTTCTCGAACGTGCAGCCTGATCATTTTTCACGCCTGAGCGTGCGAAAGGGCACAAAGGCAAGCTTCACTCGTTAATTTATTCGTGAGAAAATGTCAGAGAACACGTCCGCAAATGCGGCGCAGGATTAGGCAACGCGGCAGCGCGGTGACCCAATCCGCTTGAATCGGGCCCACTCCGAATGAGACAGAAGAATTTCCTGGAATACGGTATGCTTCAGGATTGCCCCGGATTCTTCGTGGTGCGCTGCCTAGGACCAATGATGTCTGAAGTGGTCCGCATCTTGCAAGAAGGTGTTTTACCTCAGAAATTGGATAGACTCACCAAACAATTCGGTTTCCCTGTGGGAGCTGCTATTTTAGCCGATGAGGTACCTTGCTCCGGTGTTATCTTCGTTTTGTACTTTACATATCACCTTCATAGGTTGATGTGGACGTTTATGGTCATGTGACTGTATTCTTGGGTAAGGCATTAGGACCACGTGCACATGGTGGTTCGGTTGAGCTGCTAGAAAAAATGGCTGGTTTCAAAGGAAGAAAGACTGGTAATGGTCACTTGAAAAACGTTTTGGAATATTGAATTAAGAGTGCTCCGAAGAATTGCTTACACTAATAAGGTTAAGCATTGTTGAAGTTTTTTGCAAAAAAGAAATTACAGTCTAGCTTCGAATTCCGCGCTTGATGCGAATTCCTTTTGTCTATGGAATTCTTGGTTGCGCTCCCTTCATGCCAAAAGTAGTTTTGGTGGATAAGACTGACGTAGTGATCATTCACATATCAACTTAGAACCGCATCGTTCCTTTCTAGGGATATATGTATACGAAAACAAAGGGAAGAAGAAGATTAACGAAGATGCGGTTAAAATCATCCAGAAGTACAAGCTTACACCACCGAGCCTCGTCTACAGAAGATCGACAATTACGTCTTGCCACTCGATTTGTGAATGAAGCGCTGCTATGCTTGGAGGAAGGAGTGATTTCGCCCTGTAAGACTCTATTATGAATTCTCCATATAATCGGATTATAAGTCGTTTGGTTTAGACCGACGGTGACATCGCATCCGTTTTTGGTATAGGATTTCCTCCATTCTGGGGTGGTCCGTTCCGATTTGTGGATCTCTACGGTGCAAAGAAGCTCGAGGATTCTATGAACAAATATGCATCTGCTTATACATCTGACCAGGCACGTTTGTTTTTTCCTTTGCTGAAATTGGTCCAAAAAAGGAGAGTTGCCTTTGCTAGTCTAGATTTTCGCAAGTTTTTGAAGCTTATCTTTCCCGTTCACACCTTGCCAACTACTCAAAGATCATGCGCAAAGTGGAAAGAAATTCTATACTTGATATTATGCCTCGTACCTTGTTGGTAACTTATCAAGAAAGAATAAGCCATTTTGTTTTTTGCCTTCTCACTAGACTGGTCTAATGTTAACGTTTTATTCGCTTTGATACGGTTGAATCGTTGCTCAAAATAAATATTTTTCGTCGTACTTACAAATAAACAAGTTCGCCACCGACATCTTTCTCAGCGCGAGACGTCTGCCAAAAAAGCAGCCTGTAGCCAGTTTGATTTTTATATCACCTTTGAAGAAGCCATGATTATTTTTGAGATTACTGAAGGATGTTTGGCTTTTCTGATGATGTAAAAGCGCGGAGCTCTTGTTCTCTGCGTTTCAGATGGCTGTTCGTAAAGATATCGTCTTCTTGAGTGGAACAGTCAAATTAAATCAAAATGAAGCGAAATTAATCTATGATTGCAACATATTTGATATGTCATTTCAAAACGACTTTGAAGACGGTCAGCCACCCGGGATTAAGAGATGATCATACCTGTTCATAGTTAAGGATAGTAAGAGTACTTACAGACAGTTAGAATTGGAATATAGATAAGTGGAGCTGCGATCTGCTCCCGGCGAGGATGTTAATGCATGCGGTTCTTAGGTAATGGATATTCTACCACCGTCTTCAATGGCAGATACCATGTTTATTCAAACTACGCGTCAAATGCATCTACCACAGTCTCTCGAGGACGTGATTTTCAATAACATCACAACTCACATGTATTAAGCCGGCAATACAAAACAACAGTAACGCCAGAAGAATAAGGGATCAGAGCCCTAAACACGGTGGCTCGATGGACGCAAGTTCCTTTGGCCTGCCAAACTCCTCTCTTGGTTGGCAACGTTGCGCCTCGAGCTATCGTGGTGCCATCGGAAAAGAGTACGGGAACGAAGTCAGCACACGCTATCACAAGCAATATTAAGAGAAATGCAAAAGACTGGATAAAGAATAAGTAGAGGCGACGTACCAGTTACATAGAAATATGACTACTATTTGCAGGTAATGCGCGCACGGTATAGGGACTTTTTTTTGCGAAATCCTTTAGCATGTTCGAACTGATCGATTTTTGAAAAAAGTCATGCATTTTGTAAAGTCTTTTTTATTTTGTCCATTTTTCGCCACTTTGTCGCAGGGCTGTCAAATTTGCTCGAAAGACAACGAGTCAGTCACAAATGTTATCTAGTCACCTCTTGAAACCCTTCTTCATTCATAAGGAACGCCGTTCATGCGGCCTGCGAGAGAGTGGCACAAACAATAATCTGGGGAAGTTGGAAGTACGGAGGCTGCTAAACTAAACCTGATTCATTCTTGCATAACATTTTCGACGACGATTATCGCAAGGGGTTGTGTTTTGTCATGCAGAAGGATTCGCTTGATTCTGCCTATTGACCCTTGATTGTAGTTCGGCTTCGTTTAGAGGTGTAGCGTGTAGCACAGAGGTAATAGTCGACCGTTTTGTCCTTATCAACAAATAATGCCGATTCGCAAGACCTCAATCAACATTTTGATAAAGACCTTTGGTGGTAACGTTTCTTTTATCAAAGAATCTGTTAGATTTTTTTTCAAATGGAGACACAAAGACAATTCTTGCTAAAATTATAGGTTTTTGCAAACAACTTTTCAGTAAGCAGGTGCTGAAGTTGCTCCTTTTGCTATTTGCAAACTCCGTTGAGGGGCTGAATCAAAAGAAAACAGCTTCATACACGTTATTTTCAGCTTCAATTTTCAGAAATTCTCGTTTTTTTGGTAAGCTACTCTTTTTCTATTATAACGGATTTCACTCCAGATCCCATATGCAAATTTTTGATAGTAATATTGATAGTAGACATTTCTTAGACCATTTGGATAGATTTTGCTTAATCGTTGACTTGAAGAGATCAGGGAAGACTACAACGACTTGTCTTTCATGCTTTTGATATTAGTATCAGTAAATTGCTGATTGTCGCTACTGGAAACACAAGCAAGCAAAGGACTCGGAACTCCACGTTCACCCTGAGATCCAATTGATGAAAGCATCTGTAACATGCGGAAATAATATCTTCCGTTTTCTACAAGCGAACTGACCTTTTGAACGGAGGACACATTTTGAATTTTGGCGAGTGGCATGCTTTAGACAGAATAATGACCATCGATATAGCAATAGTCAACAACAGCAAATTGACCATGATGTACACTGCTAAAAGGTTTTGATCAATAAAGAACATACGCGAAACATTGCAGTCTTTGAATTTGCTACGCACATAAGGAAGGCAGCTCATTAGTCTTCGGTATATGCTGTCCGGCGATCTGAAGGACTGTGCACATCGCAAGGATGGCCGAAAGTCCGCATCCGATCAGGAATAAAAATTGTTCTTAGTTATGTCATCGTGAAATGTGATGACTTACTTTTGCAAGGTAATCGGCATGATCAAATTTGGACCAAAACATTCCAAGTACGCAGAGGTTTGTAAGTGCGAATGAAGGTACTATTATAGTAATAACGTAGCTTAAAAAATAGCGTCGGATTCGCAACGTGAACGTGACCTGTGCAACAAAGACTTGTCAATACACTGCGGCTGAGAATTTATCACCCTCACCACGTCGTGATCGAAGTCCCTTGTGCTACCTGGATAAATGAGCGATTCAAATGCAACGCCATCAACAATCCATTCGTTATTACTCTGAAATTTTCATCCTTTTTCAAATCTGAATATTCTTGACTTTTTGACAGGCAGAAGTGCGTAGCACAAAGACAGAAATGCAGATGTCATTGAGCTTTGATTCTTTATGAAAGATAGAAATTGTTTGTTACGGACATCTCCCACTTTAACTAAGGATATAATGCGGAGAAATTCTTTTTGCTAGAAAAAACAGCAGGCCAGGGGAAATTGGGCCCGTAGCAAACTCCCTTTAGATCAGGTGAAGTGAACTGAGCCCCTGAAGTCATTTTCGTCAGCTGAAAATACGACCGCTCACATTCTCATGTTTCAAAAAGGCCACCTGGTTTTGCAGTAGACCGTCCGTACGTAAAATAAGACTGAGTTGGAAGGTCAGCTGCTGTAGATAGTAAAGACTAGAGCAAGGCGAAGGTTCACAGGCGGTATCAGTTGAGCGAGCGTGTATCTTCACGCAGTAAACCTGCGCTTCAAGCGCTCTGCGGATAACAAAGCAGCGAGCCCAAAGGTATTGCGCCTTCGTCGTACTGCAGCCTATATGTTAAAGCGGAAAACTACAGAAAATCCCGTAAGTTGCTCGTGGCTTAGGCTGGGTTTATACTGATTACCATGTTCTGGAACTGTTCCCGCACAGTTCTCGCACTGTGCTGGAACTGTGCGGGAACAGTTCCAGAACTGTGCTGCATGCGCTGCAGCCGCCCCGCACGGTTTTGAACAGCGAGAGTTGGAGAATTTCGACCGTTCTCAACGGTTTTCTTTGAGATTTCTCTCATTTTGGCCTTATTCCTCCACCCCGCTTCCCTATCAGCAGAGCTTCGAACTCGAAGCGGGGTTGAAGAATGAGCGCTTTTCTGCTTTACGTATGCGACAAAACGTATGTTCTTGTGTTCGCCCATTTTTCTTCGCTTAATTTTTACTCAGACCTAATCCTTTTGTTCCAGGAATCCGCTGTGTAGTTTCCATAGCCATCTGCCACGAATTAGGGAGCAGGAGCAATTCTGAAACTGCATGAATTCGGATTTATCTCTTGTTTTTGATGATTTTGGCCGTTTTAGCCCTTTTCGTTTTTCCATATCGTTGCTTCTCCGTTCTTTCTTCTACCCTGCTTCTCCTTGTGATGAGAAGAGCTGTGAACTTTGAGCGGGGTTAAGAATTGAACGCTGTTCTGCTTCATGTATCCAGGAAGATGAACCTTCCGCTCGTCCATCTCTGCCATTTTTGCTCAAGCCTACTTCATGTGTTCTAAAGACCTGTCTATGTCAATTCCAATACAGATGCAAGACTACGCAGCGTCTTGCTAGAACTTATGAAGTAGGTGTGAACAAAAATAGCGATGAGAGAATGGACGAGCGCTCGAAGGCCCATCTTTCCGGATTCATGGAGCAGAAAAGCGCTCATTCTTCAATCCCGCTTCGAGTTCGAAGCTCTGTTGATCAAAAAGGGAAGCGGAGGGAGGAATAAATCTGAAAAGAAAATAGTTGAAAACGGTCAAAATTCCTTAACTCCCGCTGTTCAAAACGGTGCGGGGCGGCTGCAGCGCATGCAGCGCAGTTCTAGAACTGTTCCCGCACAGTTCCAGCACAGTGCGAGAACTGTGCGGGAACAGTTCCAGAACATGGGAATCAGTATGAACTCAGCCTTACGACATACGTGAGGCATAATACTAAGGACGACTAGCGAAACGTCACACTTTCCGGGGGCCTGCGGATGGAAAGAATCGATGAACAGTTGATCCACAGCCATAGAAAATTTTTCATCCACTCTTATCTGCAGAGGACACTATATTTCTGGGAAGCTAGCTTAACATGTTGACGACAAGCCGCACAATTGCGCGTCAGGCAGTTGTCCCTGTGAACGACGCCATGCAATGGTGCGCGGCACCCTAATATCAATTTCAACATGCCCAATTGTTCTAACTTGTGTTCATATAATCATTTAGGTTCAGGAGTACTTTATGTTAACTTCACCCTCTTTTGGCAAATTCTGCCCACTCCGTTGCTTCGCATAAGAAACTTTTTTGCGCTTAAAGAGCATAGAAGCTGTCACAGATGACCTGGAGGACCTAGGCAAGAGTAGTGAGGGAAGATCGTGTGATATAGTTAGAAAATGATTAGAAAATCAAATTAACCTCAAACACTTTCTTCCTTATTTCTAGATTATGAGAATAATTTAAACTTAGATAAGCAAACATTGCAAGTTGAGCTCCGCAGGATTTTTGGATGGAGATCTAATTTTTGTGTGAATAAATTCAAGACTTTGCTTCCAAACACGCCGTAGGTAGCACTTTTTGCGATTATGCAGATGTCTTCTTATAGAGCATTCTTTCCTCCATCTAACGATGTGTTTGCTATATATATCTACTCGCGTAAGAAACGGGCCTAGTTTCTGGACAATGTGATATGCGCATATTAACAAGCGTTTTGACAAGTAGATTACTTCTTGAGGAGCTATGCAAATAAAGCAATTTTCGAAAGGTTATACACCAAAAAACTGTCATCAATAAAATAAGCCGTTGAAGCTGCAGCACTTACAATAGAAAAGCTGCTGAAGTTTTTCTTTATGTTGCCGTTCAGCCGAAGTTCGCGATGTGACAATGTATCATGCGCCAACTCTAAGGAACACCTTTGTTTATCAAAGGGAAAGTCTTTAACCTAAACTTAGGTTCTACAGTCGAGTAGATTTTCCTCTTAATAGAGTGTGCTTGCACTGAAGATGAAATGCGTTAAAATTTGGGCGTGAACAAGTAGCAGCAAGTAATGCCGACATTTGCGCGCAAATGGCCGGCGTCATAGGCGTAGCTATTTCTTTGAGCGCAAATTTTACCGCATTTCACCTTCGGTGCGAGCACACTATATTAAAGGCACAGTCCACCCAAAGTGGGAGTTCACGAGATTCGATGGCATACTAATGTGGTCCCCGCACTAGGCCAACCCCTTAGTTTCCTTGCAAAAGATTGCTTCCGAAGCGAGAAATCCGCACCGAAAGGTAAGCAATCCAGAGCTGGTCACTCCGCTCATTTTGCAGGTTTGGCGGGCTGCGGCGCTGATATACGCCAGGCCTATAACGCGCTGCAGCCCTACGACCTGCACTTCCACCCGCCCCGCTTTTTCTCCAAAATAGGGAGTTTTTGGGGCTTTCGGAGATTCTCGACTTCATATTCGAAATCAGGGCCTTCTGAAGGCCCTGAAGCGACAAAAACATGGAAGTCGAGAATTTGAGTGGACGGTGCCTTCAAAGGCAGTGGATCAGCAGAATGGACCCTTATCGATTTGTGGTGGATTTAGGTAGTAGACTCCCCAAGTACACCGTAACCCAAACCCCACCTTCCAATTCATGCGCTGAATCCTGAAAACGCGCTTCAAACTTCCACCAATGACGCCCACTTATTGGAAATGGGCGGGGCTGTGGAGTTTTGAAGCGCATTTTTCAGCACTTAGCGCATGAATTGGCAGGTGGGGTTTGGGCTACAGTGTGCTTTTGGGATCTACTACCTGAATCCACCAAAATCCGAGAAGGGCCCATTCTGCTGATCCACTGCCTTCAAGCAGACTACTTGACTGTATAAAACCATGATATGAGAGACCAGTGGCGGTCCGAGGGGGGGGGGCGGGGGGGGGGGCGCCCCCCCCCCCCGAGAATGGGTCGCGAAATTTTTGAAACTTACCTATATGGATTATAAAAATGTGCAAACGACTTGTTTCTTTTTGTAAATAATTAAAATAATTTTTAAAATTCTTTAAAAATTCAAATTAGCCTTATAAAAAAATTTTTTTCGGGGGCGTGACCCGCAAAAATTTTGAGAAGTACTCCTAAAATTTTTTCGGAGTGCGTGGCTAACGCCACGCACCTTCATTTGAAAAAATTTTCTTCCGCCCCCCCCCCCCGGTCCGAAATCCTGGGACCACCACTGTGAGAGACGTATGTTAGTGATTGTCACTTGCATTCATCAAACACAGAAATGAAACACGGTTGTACACAGTCGCATTGACATCTCCGTTGCTGTGCACCTGCAAAAAACTTTTGAAAAGAACTAAATAGAGATAAGTGACCCACGTATAGCATCGAAGTGATTTCTTCATTCGCTCCTCCGCTGCAGACAGCAACATTAAAGATGAAAGCAAACTGCGATGAGTATCGCAAACCTGTTTATCACGAAAATGTCTGGTATCCATATGAGTTTTTGATTGATATAGAATCCTTCAATCTCATCAAATTCGGATGGAATCCATGTGAGTCGTTCATCATTCCAATCCTGGAACTTTCATTTTTTTGGGTATCCGTTCAGTGCTTTATATCATCCATGCTGTGACCATGAGACGCAAGACCGTTGCGTTGCGAACATTGTCTCTTTGGAAACATGGAAGAACAACTCAAGCTTGTCATGACAATGTCCGCAAGGCGGTTTCGCGTCTCCTAGTCGTAGAGTAGATGCTGAAAAAAACTTCCCAAGTTGTACAGTAGAGTCATATCGATTGTTTGAAGCGCCTCATTCTAAAAATGCACACGTTTTGAAGTCTCAACTTCTGCTCGTGGGGTAACTTACGACGGATAGTAGCTTAGCACTCAAAAATGTGAGATTTACAGCGATAGGTTTTATGACCGGCTGAAGATTATCTGGAATTTGGTTCTTTTCATTTGTATGGAAAATAATCAGTCACACTTTATACACAAACTGAATGTCTGTTTTTCTGTCTCTCTGCATATAAGTAACCTTTAAATCTACTGGATTGGCGTCTGAAAAGCAGGGCTTCGTGACCTAACTGAGGCCGCTCACGCCCGCGATGCACTCTGCGTCTCCTCGCGCAGGCGCCCTCTGATCATTTTCTATCCTTAACTAGGTCACTATGCCCCGCTACCAGTCGCCAATCTATTTGAATCAAAGGTAAGTACTTATATTCTAAGTAAAAATTCCTCTTCTAATCAGTTCGGATGAAGTATCATACAGCCCCGAGACGGGGTAGTTGTAGGCTACCTTCTTTTGTTGATATCAATCTTGAGTAATTTTCGCAATCTTTATGTTACGGTGCTGCGAGTTGTTTTCATGGCATAATTGAGCATGCTGATTACGAATACAATATTGATCTACAAAGTATCGATAAACTTTATCAATTTTACCATTTTTTGCAAGGTATGAGTTAAGGGCTGGTAGTTGGTACAGAGGGTAAGTGAGTGATTATGAAAACATACCGGGGGCCATCTGGCATATAATAGTGGGCCAGAAGAACGTTTTATAGAAGAGGAGACTTTGCATAGGGTACTTGTTCGAGCGAAACCGACTAGTGAGGAAAAGTGATGTTTTTACCGCTTTCTGCTCCGCCTCCCACCGACAGATAGTTTGGCCGAAACGTTTGCAGCGAAGATTTTTTTCAGCTAAAACAGCGAGAGCATCTACCCTATTTTCAGGTGTATAAGCCGCGGGGTGGTCCTAGCTTACATCGACCAGCTCGAACACATCAAAGGACCTCGCAACCAAAGGACCCTACACTGTGCTACGTACTGCCTGAAAGAATCGTGCGGCATAAGGATCGCTTCTCGAAACACAATGAAGCGGTTGAGCAGCTTGTGGGAAAATTTGAAAAAGTGCTGCTTATACACCTGAAAATAGGGTACATATGTGTTTCTTCCGCTTACATATTTTTATGGACATTACATTTTATTGTTGCTTGAAATTCGATTAAAGTGCTCAGAATCCTAAAAAGATGTTTTGATAATATCGTAGTCTCCCATCGCCAAGCCCTCTTTACATGTACAAATTCGAATTGTCTAGAAAATGGACGAATGAAAGCAAAAATCCACCCACCGAATGTATTAACTTTAAAGCAGCTCTTGTTTTAGAATCTGCCCTCGATTGGATGCGATTTCGAAATGAGACTGTGAAGGTTGAGCCAGACTGCGCGGCGTAAGAGGCACGCAGCGTACGCCGCTTACGCTTTTATGATGAAATATACGGACCGCACGCTGCGTACGTAGGCCGCGCACTCTGTTTCAACCCTGAGGGTTGTTTCATACTGCAGTCGTTGCAGTAACTCCAGTTACTGAGGCGGCAAAAGATATCGATCGATCGACTGTCAGCTGCAGCGACTGTAATATGAAAACAACCCTATGACGCTGCTTAAGTACGTGCAGACATATTAGGCTGGAAACTAAGTTTTGCAACTGGATAACTTCACTCTCTTTGGATATGGCGCAATCAAACTTTGGCATTATGTAGAAGGCAATGTGAGCTACAAGTGAGCACAAATTGTCTAGATTTTAAACACGAAATGGAAAAGTTTCAGGCGTTTTTCGAAAACTAGTGAAATTTGAGTATTTTTGGGGTTTCAAGCAAAATGAAGCCTTTGGCAGCCTAGATGATGCGCATTAATCCGGATTCGTCTATAAATCATTGCTGGAGGTTGACTCCTTTGGCCTAGTAAGAAAGAAACGAAATTTAGGGGCATGTCGAGATTTGGCATCCTCATAAAGTCGAACGAGTCGATGTACGCAAGAGCTGCTGGGGACGACCGTCAATAACTAAAGAGTCCAAAGCTCAAATTCCGCCGAGACTTTACATAGTAAGGTTATTTGACCTGCCAAACGCGAATATCACATTCATTTGTTGAATCAATGCCTTTTTCTTTGTTTAGGGTGAGGCCCCATATCGTACACCTACAGTAATCTTACAAAAAAGCCCTTATCACGCAATTTCACTATCGTTTTCGTGATCAGCATGTCGGATAACACCCCTATGCCAAGTTTCAGCCAAATCCGTTGAACTGTGAAATTTTCCCCTTTATACCATGCACCTACCATAACCCTCACTGCAACGTCAGAATTTGGTAGGGCAGTAGCTGCGCTTGTAGCTTACGTAATAACCAACGCAGTGGCAAAATTTGAGTACGCCATGTTGAGTGCGAGGGAAGTTACGAGACCAGTGGCAAAACTTAGTTCCCAACCTAATAATTAAAGTGCATAACACGGGATACGGCATTTCACTGGTGATAGACAATTGTTCCATCTTACCGTTCATTTTCCAATCAAGTTCAAGTGTACTGAACACCTCTAAGCTCTTCGATCGGATATCTATAATCATTAAAGGCCATGATAGTGCCCTTGATATTGGGATTATACAATGTGTCCTAGCCCACGTTTACGTAGTTGACTCGCTATGTTGACTTTTCTTGCTAGCTAAGTGCTATTCATCCTTGAACTTGGCCGAAGGCAGTTAACACATTCTATATATTTGGTGAACATTTCTCGCCATCTTTGGCTGTGAGGGCACACTACCCATTCTTCTGATAGGAGTTCAGTTATATAGTCTGTTACGGATTGACTGCCATTCAGGTATCTTGTAGAGTGTTCAAACTTCATTTTCTAACTGTTCTTGTATCAAACATTGTTCAATGGCGGCAGTGATCCATTCGGAAGTGAAAGACATTTACAGAGTTATTCCGTCATAAAACCATTCACTCGTGTTTGCCGAATAATTCTCTAAGTTCACCGACACAAGGGGCTTTTGGATAGCACAGTTGCTCAGTATATCTCCAATACGGCTGCTAATCTTAGCCCGATTGCCAGCTATTTTTGCGATAGTTTTTGGAAAGCATAGGAATATTGTACGATTATCTTTATGATGCGCACCTTGTTGAAGCTGCACATCAACCTCGCCGTACATCTAAGTGAGTCCAGCTTCTCAGGTAATGCTTGCGAAGTGATCTTACACTTGTTACACGAAGATGACATACTCAGACGCTCTGTTCTGGTCAATTTGCAATCAGAGAACATTTTTCGCCAAAAGAAGTAGCAAGAGAGGCTTGGGAAGTTGATCTTTCAATGCCAAATTTAAGTTGCTCGTTTGTCACTTGATCTACGTTTTTTTTTGTAAAACGAATTGTATTGGTATCTTGCTGTTCAATCACTTTCAGTTTATCTTGAAGGCATGGCGCAAGCATAGAAGGGACATTGCGAAAGTGAGTAAAGAGACACAGCATTAGCACTAATTATTGACTATAATAACTGGCGAGCTGGGCAGAGCCAGTTATCATATCAATAATTAGTGCTAATGGCTCTGCCAAAACGCTATGATAAGGGTGAGGGTCCATCCCTATCCCTGTACGACCTTTCCTTATGCCCACTTCTAAGAGCCACTGGCCCGTAAAAGCTCGTAGCTCATGAACTAAACTTAATCCATCAGTTGAGCTTACGTCAGATGAAATGATGACCGCCCACCTTTCCATGCTGTAAGCATGCCAAGTGAATTGACAGTTGGCCATCCATCCACCTGCTGTAGTCAACTATTGCACATCACTTCACGTTCAGTTGAGCTGAACGTGAACTGATGTTAGACGAATGCAAATAGTGTGGAAAGAGGAGACGCAGAGAAGACTCCCGTAAGTCACTCCTGAGTTTTTCCTAGCACTGCAGACAAAAAATCGGCGCAAAACTGCACAACCGGGCCCCAAAAGGAGAGGATCGATGAACAGCTGATTTTGCCGAGGAAAACAGACTCCTCTCTTTTTCAAAAACTTTGCTGATTTTTTTTGAAGAGCTGCTCAAAACGAGAAGTCATTTATTCATTTCATTAAATTCACGTTGCAACCATTTCATTTTCTCTAAAATTTTTGTCACAAAATGTATTTTTGTTTTATCCATGCATTTGCTGGGCGAAATCCGTGATAGCGGTCTGAGCAAAGTTTGCACTTTTCGGTCTCTTCTTTAAGAAGTAGTAATTTTCAAAGAAAATGCAAAGAAATCAATCTCACAGGAAAATCGATTTTGGCATTTTTTCTCGAAAATCATAACTTTTCGAAAAAAGAGCCCAATCAACCAAGACTATCGAGACAAGAAAAGCTACTGTTTTTTGAAAATGACAGGTCTAAACTAATTTTAGGTTGTCTCATATTTAATGCGCGTCTATCTAACCTCTTTTTGAGAGAGCTGATTTTCAAAGAAAAAACATTTTTCTTTAAAGCCTTTTATAGTTTCGGAAAGCCCGATTCTTCTAGTTTCTAACATGTACCTTCGTTTTCGCAAATCTCTGTGAAGCCGAAGTTTCATGCCCTCAAAGACAAGTGATTAGAATTTGAAAATCTTTTTCTTCACTCTCCTTACTCTAAATTCCTGAAAAGTAGACGGGTTCAAAAAATATGCATGACGATCGCGAAGCAATCGTCACGCATATTTTGCTACAAAACGCTTGTCAGTATAACATTTTTGAAAAATTCCGAGCTGAGAAATCTTGTCTCAAACTTGGCTGGTCGCCGAGGCCCATCT